TTAGTGGTTTAAAGTGTTTAACACAAGACCTGAGAGATACAACCTGAGCTGTCCCTAGGACTGACTCATGGAGTGAAGAAGAGAATGACTTCCACAGAATGCCCTCTGACCCTCTACATGTACATTGTTGAACATGCATGTACACTATAAATACATAGAGTAAAATGTAAGAAAACATTAAAAACTGTTGGAGGGTTTGCATAAGGATACCCGGGCAAGTAGGGGAAGAAGAGTCTTTGAAAAGTGAACCTGGAACAGTTGGGTATCTTCCTGGAAGAAAGAGCTTGACCTGCTGTTACACTGTCTCATAAAATTCTAGGTTAAAACCATAAAACATGTTTTAAGAAAACACAGGGAGCCCATACATTTCATGTCTGAAGCTTGGAAGTGAGTAGGCTCTCTCTTTAAAAGATGCTGACCTCGAGAGAAAGTTGCGCCCAACTGTGTTGGTGTTAAAGTAGCTCACCAGAAGGGTGTTTCAAAAAGAATAGACCGGAGTGGGAGAGAAACAGTTATGAAATGTGTGTTTGAAAGATTACATGAAGAGTTGATAAGGAATTTATAATTCAGTAGTGAAATAGTGACTCTGGTTTTAAATAGACAGATTTGGATATGTCACAAAAGATAGAAAAGACCAATTGGAACAGGGAAATGCAGTATCATTAGTCACTAGAAAACAACTCGGAAGGAAATACCACAATATAGTCACCAGAATAGTTAAATTGATTGGAGAGTACATCCACTCAGGAAGAAGAGCCATTCGTTTTCAGTAAAGCTGAACTTGCATCTGGTTACATCTCAAGAGTTCTAGGGAGTTACTCAACACCAGTGGAAAACTCTGTCCACAGTGGATACTTGTAACAGCTTTAGTCCTAATAGTTACAGCCTAGAGACAAGTTAGGTTTATAGCCATCAGAAAGCAGTGACTAAAGGAACTGGTCTGTTCAGGGAATGGAAAGCTCAGCAAACACAAACAGAATTGTCCTCTATGTTAACATAGATGAATCCCGAAGTCATTGTGGTGCATGAGTCAGGCTGAACCCCAGAGTGGCTCATATAAGTCTATTTTAGTGGCATTCTGGAAGATATAAATTTAAGGTGAGAAAATGAGTTTAGCAGTTATCCCTTGTTGGGGAATATTATTTTTAAGGTGACTTTTGTTTATGCTGAAAACTCTGAAACTGTGTTACTGTGCCTGTCTCAAACACCTGATGGTCTAATAAAGATCTGAGTGGTCAATAGCAAGGCAGGAACAAGAATAGGTGTGGCTGGCAGGCGCAGAGTATAAATAGAAGGAGAAATGAGAAGAAGCAGTCTGAGGAGGACATTAGGGTCAGCCACCGAGGAAGAATTAAGATGTACAGAAGTAAGAGAATGGGAAAAGCCCAGAGGCAAAAGATAAAGGGTTAACCTAAGAAAAGCTCACTAGAAACAAGCTGAGCTAAGGCGGGACACTCATAACTAAGAAAGAACATTAAAGGAAGAGAAGAGTAAGGACCCAGGCAGAACAACGTTGTGGGGATGGAGTGAATAGAAGGTCCATTGGGTGTGACTTCCGGTAGGCTCCTCCTTGTGCTTCTTGACATCTACTCACATCTTTGGGAACCTTCAGGAGTGCCTGCCTGAGGGTATTTTGAGAGGAACTGAGGAGAGTTGGAAAGGGTTTATACTGGAAGAGAAGACAGTGGCCTGTCATAACTTGTTGGGTAGACATTAATATATTTGTTTCTGTTCTATTCTCTTTATGTAACTGTATACATTATTGAGACTTCATTTTGATTTTTTAGTTTTTTTATTTTACTATTTTCGGTTAGGTAGTTTGTACTAATGTATGCATTCACTGATTATTTATTTGGCCATTGGTCTCTCTCAGAATTTGTAATTTTCAGTTTTAGCATTTGTTTGATTCATTTCTGTAGTCTACATTTGTTGAGATTCCTGATCTGTTCATTAATTTCATGAGCATATTCATAATAATTTCTTTAAAGCTCACATCTGGCCTGTTTCTGTTGCTGTTTGTGTGACTTTTAATCGTGTACTAGTTATGGGAAACAGCACTGTACTGTTGTCCTGGCCTCTGAAGAGTTTTGATCTTTGTTTTAGCAGGGCTTATTAGCTTCAGAATCGAGACTTTTCTTCTACTGTCGGCCGTGGTTGCATTGTCAGTTCTTTGACAATGCTTTCCCAAGTGCTGGTTTCCTCAGTCCCCGTGGTCTGTCCATGTGTCAGTCAAGGATTCAGGCAGAGGCTGTAGTTTGAAGATTCCTCCCCTCTGACTGGCTCCTTTATTTACAGTTAAGCTGCAGTTTTCTGTGTGGGTTCCAGTTATCTTGAGTTACTGAGGCTGGGAACTGCCCTCAAGTACAATGTCTTGGAAATGCAACTCTCATCCAGTGTACCATTCCTCAACCCCAAGATGACACCTTTCAGTTTACATACTTGTGGTCTTTGTTTTTAAGTGCTTTATATTTGATTGGTTAAAGCTGTGATTTGAGAAAATTGACCTACTTGAAGCTCTTGAACTTTGCTGGAAGTGGAGTCTGCTCTGCGTTATAGTGTTCTTTGTCCATCTGCTTTTTAGCTGAGGGGGATTAGTGATGTAGTCTTTCCTCAGCCTTCTTGTGGTTCTTATTTATTGTATGTTATGCTTGGAGAATCTTGTCTGTATCATAAAGTCTATAAATTAGAGCTATGTATCTCTTGTGGTTTTTTGTATTTAGTAATGCTAAAGTTGTTTCTTTAATAACTACACACTCTAGTTGCCTTTACATGTTGTTACAAAGTGGATCTGTTTTAGAGTGTTCTCCTGGCTGGGTGTGGTGATGTATAGCTATAACCCCCAGCCCTTGGGAGGCTGAAGCAAGGTTGTGTGTTTCAAGCCAGCCTGAGCTTACATAAAAAATAAACATGCACTCAGGAGGAGGATCTCTGTGAGTTCGAGGCCAGCCTGGTCTACAGAGTGAGTTCCAAGACAGCCTCCAAAACAATACAGAGAAACACTGTCTCAGAAAACCAAACCAAAACAAACCAAGCAAACATTTTACTAGCTAGTATTAAGCTTTCCAGTTTGAGGGATTAGAGCAGGTGAGAGACACAAATTGTGTGTTGGCGGTTGGTGTGATGGTAGTTAGAGGCTGAGGCAGACTAAGGTCTGGTTGTTCATGTTCTTACCCGTTGCTCTTTATTCTTCGGCTTATTTCAGGCCCAGTAGAATACAGCTGAAGTGCTTTGTGCCCTAGGTTCTGTTTCTTGTCTTGTTCTCAGAGGAACCTGAATGAGAGGTTCTTCCTAACACCATAACAGAATACCTCCAGTTACGCTGTTACTATCCCTGTATTGTTTTCAAAGAAACAATCAACAGTATACCATTCATTTCAGTTCAGGGTCACAAGAGGAAGGTCTAAAAATTATTCTCTTTTTTTTTTTTTTTTGGCTTTTTCTGCTTTTCATAGTATGGTGATGTTTGTATTGTTAAAAAGCGGGACTATATAAAATATCAGGGCAGGTCAGAAAATTTTCTAAGTATGCTCTTTATTTTTTTTTCCTTTGCCTTTCTGTCCCTCTGTTCCAGTCTCCCTCCCTCCCTCCCTCTTCTCACCAATTGTTCAATTCCAGTTACTGTGTACTCAAAATCAGGGGTGTCCTGCAACCGTCTAGCTGTTCCTTGGGTCATCCTGGACCAGTGATTCTCAACCTGTGGGTCATGACCCCTGGGGCAGGGGAGACCATAGTGGTCACCTCAGACCATTAGAAAACACAGATATTTACATAATATGATTCATAACAGCAAAATTGCAAGTATAAAGTTGCAACAAAAATAGTTGTATGGTGTGTGTGTGTGGGGTCAGTGCAATGAGGAACTGTATTGAGGGCTGCAGCATAGGGCGGTGTTGAGAATCACCCCTCAGACTGTCCCTAGCCTCAGAGCCTCTGCTTTCCTATTGCCCTCGTTGACCCAGTTACCTCATGGTCAGTGAGCAAACGTGAAACTGATCAGGTATTTCTTTTTGAAGGTTATTAGAAATGTTCCCTTTTTTTCTCTCAGGTTTTGCTGACTTTGGTAATATGCGTGAAGTGGAATTGAGTCTCAGAAATTATATTTGATTTAAAAAGTAACGGCTTCATAGCTGAGAGACAAGGCCATCAGAACTCCATTCTGAAAGTTCCTTTTAAATTCTTCCCTTTGCCCATAGGCCAGTAGTTACTTTGAGGTGGAAGTGGTAGTTCAGGAAAAACAGGGTGAATTATCTGGCATGCCTGTGTTCTGGAAAGATGTGAAAAGAAATTTTAAGATGTGTTATATTAGAATGATTTTAGTTTATCTACCGTGCCCTTTATAGATGATGGCAAGAAAGCAATTAGAGCTCTTAGTAACACTGAATCTCTTTAAGTAGTACAAACAGATGAACTAGAAGTCTTCACTGTGGGTATGTCTGGTTTGTTTATTTTACGTATTTATTTTTGAAACAGGATCTTGTAGACCAGGCTGGCCTAGGCAAGCATTGAACTTCTTGTTCCTCTTGCTGCTACTCTCCAAGTGGTTGGATTACAGATGTGTTCTATCACACCCAAATGATAAATGTTTGTTTTAAATGGAACTTTTTCTATATTAAAAGTACCAGTTGACAGCTATTTGTAATTGAAGTGGGTTTGTTGTTGCTGTTTTTTCAACTTGTTAATTGGGTTGATAGCATAGGATGAACTCTTTGAGTAGAAGAAGTTGGAAAGGACATTATAGGTATGATATCATTAGGCTAGCGAGCATTGGTGTTCACATATAAAAACATAATCATAACTTATCTGGAGTCACATGTTCCATTTTATTGCCTTCCTTCATATAGAAAATATAGTGGCCAGCAGTGACCTGTGATGGTGAAGCCATGCATATTTTCTGGGTGAAGGAAGTACTCTGTACATTCTCCATGCTTTGCATCATGGTACTTTGAATAACCATGCTTCCATGTTCACATCAACTTTTTGTTTTTTCAATTTATGCACAGCACTTGCTCTGAAATTTGGGGACTGAGTACACCAAATACGGTAGATCAGTGGGATACAACAGGCCTTTACAGCTTCTCTGAACAAACCAGGTGAATATTCTGCCCCTGTGGAACCCTAGAGACCTTGTGGGAGGGTGTGCTTTGGAAGACCTCAATGGGCTTGTGTAGTGTAACTTGCCTAGGATGTTAACTTACTGTAAATAAGGCATAGCATGTAAAATACCTGCTTGCCAGCATTAAAAATATATTAAATGTTTCAGCTGATGTTTTGATCAATGCAATTATAGTTTTGAACCTTCAGATGATTGTGTCCCATAAAGAATAAGACCTTTTTATATCTATATACTCATTGTAGTCCAAGATTAGACAATTTGTTATTGGCCTAATTTTAAGTAGATACATGACTAGTTTTTCCTAAATTTCTTGTTAATTTCATCTTTATACTAGTGTTTGAACTGCTCACATCACAATTAACTGTAGGCTAACTTATTTTTCTGTCATCTTTTTTTTAATCACTTCATTCTCATTTAAGCACATTGGTATTTGTCCATTCCATCTCACATTCATCACCATCTGCATTTCTGTGTGAGCTTCATAAATAAGCCTAAGAGACCAAAAGTCACACTTGAATAACGAGTTACATTAGTCCAAGTAAGTTACTGTCACATCATTGTTGATATTTATAACCATTTTCATACTACTTCCTTTTTTTGACAACCAGTTGCTTCAGAATTAATGCCTCTGAAAGTTTAGCTTATTGGAAATAGACATTGATGAAGTTTTCAAGTATAACCACATGACACTTTGTAGCTCACTTGCCCATGAGACTAGCCTTCCATTGGCACATGAGTTGTTACACGCACATCAATAGGAGACAGGTGCTAGTGCCACTGCTTGCTCGATCAGATCCAAGCCAGGGTGCACTATTATTCCTGGATATTACTAAAGCTAACTTTAGTGACCGTGGTTTCCTTCATTGTGCCCTTAGTGTATTAATTCACCCCTTTTGATGACACCTAGTCTCTCCTTTTAAAAATGCCCTCCTCTTTCCCCTTGCTTCCGAATAGGTCTCTTGATGGTCGTCTTCAGGTTTCGCATCGGAAAGGGTTGCCACATGTTATATATTGCCGGTTATGGCGCTGGCCGGACCTTCACAGTCATCATGAGCTCAAGGCAATTGAAAACTGCGAATATGCTTTTAATCTGAAAAAAGATGAAGTGTGTGTAAATCCTTACCACTACCAGAGAGTTGAGACACCAGGTAGGAAAACTGTAGGTTTTTGTTTTGTTTTTCTGGTTTTAAACTAAAAGGCTGACTGAAGACTAGTACTCCTTGTGTCTCAGGGAAATTTTAATGTAAAATTGTAATGAACTACCTTAAGTTTGGTAGGAGTTTTAAATGCTTTCTTGTTTTAAACTTTTATGGAAAAATTATTCTGAAAAAGGGACATGTCCATTTCTTGGCCGCTTACTCTTTTGGACAGCCGGGTATGTATCCAGGAAATCCCACAGACTTGCTGTCTGCTGAGAGTTGTCCATGTGTTTGTCTGTTACCTGCTTTCAACATTCCACTCATGACTGCTTTCACAGGTGCTTTAATGACAACATTTTTAGAGAGGTGACGGTACGACTTTGGATTTAATCACCAAAAAAAATTCTATTAGAAGTTTTTAAATCTGACTTCAGTGATGACTTTCCCCTCACCATTTCTAATGGAATTTTATAAATTTTGTTTTTGTTTTTGTTTTTTTGTTTTTCGAGACAGGGTTTCTCTGTGGTTTTGGAGGCTGTCCTGGAACTAGCTTTTTGTAGACCAGGCTGGTCTCGAACTCACAGAGATCCACCTGCCTCTGCCTCCCAAGTGCTGGGATTAAAGGCATGTGCTACCAACACCCGGCTGGAATTTTATAAGTTCTTATGGTAATATAGTATTGACAGGGTCACATTGTTCCCCAAAGTACAAAATAAACATTGGTTTGGAAACTTAATATGAATTCTGTAAATCAACTCCATGATCAGTTTTGTCAGTTTCTTAATGTAGTAATATCAGATAGGTGTGCCAAGACTTTGGAAAATGAAGCTACCCTCCCCTCTACCACACTTGCCACTAACGCAGATTTCTTTAACTCTTGCAGTTTTGCCTCCAGTATTAGTGCCTCGGCACACAGAAATCCTAACAGAACTGCCACCTCTGGATGACTATACCCACTCCATTCCAGAAAACACTAATTTCCCAGCAGGAATTGAGCCACAGAGTAATTACATCCCAGGTATTTTTGCCTTGAAAATCTCTTAAGACTTAGGTAAACAGCAATCTTGTAACAAATGCCAAGTGTTAGTAATGTAGTTTCAAATTTCAGAATGTTTTTGACTCTGAACAGAAAAGTCTGATTTGTTGGGTGATGATTTTCTGCAGTGTCTACGTCTAACACATTGAACAGTTTATTTGGATAAAAGATTTACTTTTTATTTTATTTTCTTTTGCAATGGCTTTAAACAAAGTACTGTGAGAAGTAGGAAAAAAATCCTCGTAAGCTTGTCTGAAGTAGAGAAGTGCAGAACATAAGCATAGTGTGTCCCTGGAACAAACATAACCACACATCTAAACAGTCATTTTTCCATGGGTAATTTGGTAATGCTTATGGTGGTTAAACACTTAGTACATATGATATTTAGTTTTGTAGATAAACTACACATTTGAAAAAGAGAAAATGCTCGATTATGTTTCTCCTGGGCCTTAGTTAATTCTGCTGAAAGAAATGAGAAATTTACTGTAAAAGCTGTGCGGAGTGTGTGAGGTATGTGTGCACATGTGTGAAAGGAGGGGACAACTTCATGGATGCCAGGGGTTGATCAGGTTGTCAGGGTTATGTGGCAGTCACTGTACCCACTGAGCCATTTCACTGGAGCTCAGATTCTTCTCTTGTCTCTTGTTTTATGCAGCCAGCCCAGTGATATTTCACAAAATCAGTACCAACTCCCATAGTTTTTTTCTGTTTTCTAGCAAAAACCAACTACTTATTTGTTGTTTATAGAAACTAATTGGGAATTATTTGTATTCTGAATTTTTAATGTCTCCCAGTCCCTGCCTGCCTGCTTCATCCATTCCCCTACCTTTATCTAATTTTTTTCCCATTCCAACTTTTATACAATAGAAATGTGGGGAATCAGACTTTTATTTAGTGTATTACATTATGAAAATAATATTTGTTCATTGAAGATAGTTTTTAAATCATTAAAAAACATGAGTTTTGTTTTAAAGCTCATTCAAGTATTGATTTATTTTAAAGACTAGATGTCCTATGCCACCTTGCCTATAGGCCCCAGGTGCTAGTATGTAGAAACATTGTGACATTAGTAAGGATGAGATGATAAGATCATAGTACAGCAGAGTAAGGTGAGGGAATATAAGGATCAAAAAATAAAACGTTCCTTTTTTGGGAGAATTGAGTGCCTTTTAGAAACTGGCTGAGAGTGGAGTGTGTGTGTGTGTGTGTGTGTGTGAGAGAGAGAGAGAGAGAGAGAGAGAGAGAGAGAGAGAGAGAGAGAGAGAGAGAGAGAGAGAGAGAGAGAGACGAAGTGAATCATGTAAGTTTTTTATGTGGCAGCTGTTGTTACTCCATAATGCTAACAAATTAAAGTGTAGTGTGTATCAAGGTCTTCTGAGACATGTACCAGAAAATTACTTGCAACGTTATTCAAAATTCTTACTCCTCTGATATTAAGAGGTTTGGGTTTTTTTCTTTATTCTTTTAATTATTTAGATGTTAGTGTTTTATAAAGTAGCAAATTAGAAGTGAAATACACCAGTTGTTTTTCTCTCCAGTTCCGTGACAGCAAAACCAATGAATTTACTTTTGTTCCATTTCAAAATAATTTCTAAAGAGTTTTTATTTTTATTATTTTAAATTATATATGTGTGTCAATGTGCATGTGAGTGTAGGTACCCACTGAATTCAGGTTCTTTGCAGGAGTAATACCTGCTCTTAACTGCCAAGCCATTGCTCCAGTCCCTCAAAATAACTTTTAACATTACTTAAATGTCGATAGCTTATCAATTTATAGATAAATAATAATGGAGGATGGTAAAGAAATTGAATGAGGTGCTAAAGAGATGACTCAGAGGTTAAGAGCACTGGTTGCTCCTCCAGAGGATCTGAGTTTAATTCCCAGCACCCGCATGGCGGCTCACAACCATCCATACTGAGATCTGGCCTGCAGGTATTCACGCAGAGCACTCATACACAAAATATAAATAAATAATTGAAAAAGAAGTGCATTGAGATAAAATGTCTTAGAGTTGGGCTTTTTCCATCTTAGACCTTTGAAACATTGATGCTCAGACCGGCTGAGCTCAGTTTTTTAAGTTTTCTTAGTTTTAATCTTTAAAATAGTTTATAATGTTAAGAATTACTATTTATTGTTTGAATCAATGAAGAAACTTTGTTTTTTAAATTTCAATATAAACATTTTGATATACTGACTTCTAAATGAGAATGGTGTGCAGTTTGTTTTAAGACAGGCAGAATCTTACTGTGTAGACCAGTTTGATCTTACTAGAGATCCTCCTGCCTTTGCCTCCCAAATTCTGGCATTAAATGCATCCTTCTCCTTAAATAAAGTCAGGATCTTTTTTATGTTGTGTGTCTGTATTATTTTGAGTTACTGTTAAAAACTGAAAATGATGCACTGTTACATCTTTTGAACTTTTCCCCTTAAAATCACAAATGATAAAATTGTATTCATGTTTTTATTCTTTGAAATTTACTCAGTTATACAGCTGCTTCCTGAACATAAACACTTAATTCAGAAAATGTGTTGGAAATATTTTCAGGTAGTACTGTATTTTTGTTTCTGCTTCAATTATTTAGAGCTGTTAAGCAATTAGAAATCTCAGGAAGGGTGGGGCAAGCTTTTTCAGGTAGGATTCAGGGTAGGTCAGTCCTACTTCACTCTACTGTAACCTGCCTGGTACAGTTGTGTAATCTGAAATCCCAGCTGTGTGTATGTCAGTCTTCTCCCAAGCATTCATCTATGTGTGGTGTCCACTAGTTTAAAAACAAAAACTGAGAATACCAATGTCTTTGAATCCTGCGGAGAGATATCTTTGGAGTTTGGTTTTTGGCTGTTCCAGAATATATACACATGAGCCAGATGGTAAATTATGTCTAAGAAAATATGCCAGGAAAGCTGGGTTTTGCTACAGGCCTGCTTTAGGGATTCGCCTGCAAGACATAGATTGATTAGAGCCTAAATTGCCAACCCAAATTTGCTTTTTTTAATGATGTATATGTATACACATACATATAACAGTATCCAACTTTGCTTTTTATACATTGTTTTGGTTTTCTCATTGCTTGTATTTGATAGCTGGGAGAGAAAGCTGAAATTAGATCAACTATACTTGTTCTAAACTTTTGTAGAAACGCCACCACCTGGTTATATCAGTGAAGATGGAGAAACAAGTGATCAACAGTTGAACCAAAGTATGGACACAGGTAAATGTGAATTTCTCAGTAATTAGTCATTAAATTGGCTTTCTTTGATATCAGAATACAACATTAGATTTAGCTAACCACAGACCAAGAATTTTTGAGAATAAAACTTGATTTTGGTGTCTAGTAAGATGGCTCAGTGGTTTAAGGTGTTTGTTGCTGTGACAACCAGAGTTTAATCCTCAGAACCCACGGAGTAGAAACAGAATCAACTCCTATAATGTGTCTTTTGATCACCATGCCTGCACCATGAATGGCACATGCCCACACAATAACTACCCATCACAGTGTGAAAAAAATACACTATACTGGCACTTAGAGAAGTTGAGAAATGTACTCAAAAGGTGAACCTCCCCGTCTTGACAGTGTTGAGCTGTCCAATGGGCAATGCTGTCATGAAATTGAACATGTGCCACTCTGCATAGTTGGTAGGTGTTTCTCTTACCAGAGTAAGTGGACACTTTGAAGTACTAGATTCTTTTTTTACCCCTAAGTATTCTATACTGCTAAGTTTTAGTATCCCATGAGTAAATACCTCTCATAAGAGACCATGGTCATCTTACTAACATATTTAAGAATAATTTGAGAGCAGGAGGACCAACTTTTCTTTGCTTCTTTAACTTACTAGTAAACTGTTTACACAGGATACCTTGTTTCTGATCTAAATTTGATGAATTTCTGATAATTAGCTATTATATCCCAAAACCTTAAGCTGTTTGTTAAATAATAAACTCTGTAGCTCAGGGGAGCCAAGTAGCGTACTCTTGAAAGTACTTTGATGTCATTGTTTAGTTTGGTTTATTCAACCTTTCTTACCTTAAGGATTAGTTAGTGTCCTAGTCATTATTCTGTTCCTGTGAAGAGACACCATGACCAAAGCATTTAACTGGGGGCTTGCTTACAGTTTTAGAGGTTTAGTCTGTAAGCATCATGGCTGCATGGAGGCAGGTGCTGGATCAGTAGCTGAGAGCAACATCCTGATCATGGGCAGGGTGAGGGGAGAGGGGGGAAGGAGGGGAGAATCAGTCCACTGACACACCTCCTCTAACAAAGCCACACCTCCTAATCCTAATCCTTTTAAATAGTGTCAATGGGACCAATTCTTACTCAAACCACCACAGTTAGTAATCCAATCTTGCGTGAAACTGCATGGCCCAGTCTGCCTTCTCACTCAGATCCTCTTGCCATAGCCTCCAAATGGTTTAATTACAGGCATGAGCCACCTTTTCTGGACTATCTAAATTATTTTTAAATGGATTGAGGTGGGATGGGGAGAGCATTATATCAAGTCTGCTGTTTGACTCCTTCCATATGTTAAATGCCCAGGAAAGATGCCTCTGCAGTAGCTAATATTTATGTCTGACTGTAAGAGTGGTAGATAGAAAGATACATGATAATCTAATAGCTATTGGAAATAGCATATTAATGCACATGATGTTTGGCTTTTCAAATACGTATCCTTGACACTCAGTATTCTTTAGTGAGCAGTATCTTTGCAGTGTGGTAGGTAGCCGTTGGCATTGAAAGTGGGCAGCATATAATGTTGAACATCATATATCACAAGTGAAATGGTATTTCACATTTCTAAATATCTGTATTAAAAACACAACTGTAACAACTAATAGTGAAGTTGTGGAAAAACTGGAGCACTCATATATTGCTGATAAGAATTAAAGTGTTATAACTATTTTAGGAAAGTTGGTTATTCTTCAGAAATTAAATACAAGATTACTACGTAGTCCCATCATTTTACTCCTAGATCTATACTTAAGAGACTTTAAACCAGGTTCACGTAAAACTTGCAAGAAAGTTTGTGTTGTAAACATTATACATTTCATTTCACAAATGGAAACAACCCAGATGTCCTACCACATTTTGAATGGCTGAACAACATGAGGTATGTTCCTACAATAGAAGTGTGACCTGAAACCTGAGAGAGAGAGAGAGAGGGGGAGAGGGAGAGGGAGAGGGAGAGAGAGAGGAGAGAGGAGAGAGAGAGACAGAGGGGGGGGGAGAGAGAGAGCGAGAGAGAGAGAGAGAGAGAGAGACAGAGAGAGAGAGAGAGAGAGAGAGAGAGACAGAGAGAGAGAGAGAGAGAGAGAGAGAGAGAGAGAGAGAGAGAGAGAGAGAGAGAGAGAGAGAGAGAGAGAGAGAGCATGGCTTTGCTGGCACCTGTGAGAGTAAATAATACTAAGCCATTCAATTTGTGGTACATTGTTATGTAAGTTATAGTTGGCTAATATAAAACTAATAAGGTTTTGAGAATGTATTGGTAACATTAATAACTTACATTTAATAGTTTGTACACTTTGTAGAACTTAATATATTCTCCTTTTAAATTTTTATTTTAAGCTTTGAGGCAGGACCACAGTCATAGGGCCATAATCACACAGGATGTCCTGAAACCCACCATCCTGCCTCAGCCTCCCAAGTTGCTGGAATTACAGGCATCATTCCAGGTCATGTTGCATTTTTTAAAGCATACACAAAACTTTGAGATGAAAGGATAAAGTTAAGTAACTAGAAAATAACCTACAATTTTTTTCTTACAAGCCAGTTCTATAGTTGGAGGCCACATAAAGGTGAAAGGAGATGCCCAGCTGCAAAGTTGTCCTCTGACTTCCCTACATGCACCATGGCATACATGTCATACACAATAATGTTTAAGTAAAATAACAATGGTTTGTATTGTTTATGTTTACAGAATGAATACATACATTATTTCCTACTAACGAGGCTGTTAATTCAGTATTTTATATATGTTCTTTATCTGATAGAAAAAGTTCTATTCGTTAATTTATTGATTGTGGTGATAGAAAATTTCAGGTTCTCATGCTTGTTAGGCAAGCCTATTATTGATATTGACTCTGTTCTCTCAGTCCACCTTCTGTATTCTGTGAGATGGAGTCTCCAAAGTGATTTTTCCAATTATAGTGTTAAATATACTAAATGAAAAATGGATCTGTTCAGGCCATATACTGTGCAGCCCCAAATGCCTGGCATTCTGAAAAGGTAGCCCTTCTGGAAACAGGCAAGAGTTTAGGGTTCTAGAGAAAGAAGAATTGTATAGGAAAAGCCATAGGGCAGTGAGGTTGATTTCTGTGATAGTACAAATGGAGGATGTGTATTATACATTTGTCCTAACCTACAGGTAATAAACACAAGAGTGGGTCTTTTTGTAAACTGTGGAGTTTTGATAACAATACATCTAAATATATTTGGCAATTGTAGCATATCTACCATTGGGGTATGGGATCATGGATAGAGTGACAGGTATATATGAGACTTTTTTTTTTGCACTAGATATTCAATTTTGCTATGACCCTAAAAATTCTCTAAAAAGAAAATTGAGGCAATTTTGTTTGTTTGTGTTTGTTTCTGTAATGAAGCATTAGTGTCATCTTCAAAGATATACTAAAGTAGATCCCAAAACCATGGAAAGTTTACAATTTTTTTTTTCTTTTCAAGACAGGGTTTCTCTGTATTGCTTTGGGGCCTCTCCTGGAACTCACTCTGTAGACAAATGCAGGACACTCTAGGAACTGGTCTAAATTTAAAAACGTAGAAGTCAAAGAAGGGAGAAAAGATAGTAATTAATAGAAAAACGTGGATAAAGATAAGAATGTACTTCTTTAAAAAATGATAGAATTGCCTTTTTAAGGCTGTTAGTTTGGCACATATCACCACAGTAATTGTGTAAAAATTATAAATTTGTATGTTCATGGTAGTGAGTCTTAACACTTACAAAAACACCCAATGCTTCCTCTTTGAGGAAACTCTCCTACAAACGTACATGAACTTGTAAGCAAAGGGTATACACAAGTATTTCTGTAGATGCTTTAGCTGCAGACAGCTACTTCCTGTCTTATAGCCAGACTCCTCAGTGGCATTTATAGCATGAATGATTCATTGATTAATTACCAGTTGTTTAGTGTTTTCTAAAAAGATTTTCCTATTTGGTTTATTTAAGTTTTAGCATTTATAATGCACCTTTCTTTTGTCACACTTGACACAGTTAACAAGCAGCCACGTATTTTATAGGTATGTAAATATTAAAAGACGATAGTGGTTGGACAGCCCCTCCATCTGCAGTTGTTTATATCTGCTTCAGGAAATACCATGCATTTCAGTTCATTGTTCTAAGCATATCTTGACCTTTTTCGTTTGTACCTGTTGTGATTTGCCAACACGTTTTTCAAAATGAAGAAAAAGCATGATTGTATAATATAATTGCTTTCTAAAAAATAGTGCTTGCCAGTTCTCAATCTCTGATGTGACTGTGTCTATGGTGGCTGCCTCTTTATCTGTGTCCCATGCTATGTCTGAGCTGTTTGTGGGAGTGAATGGTGTTGCACGCTGTTCTCCCTTGTCTCTGTCTGTGCTGTGGCATACATTTGCGGCAGGGAGCTGCCTGTGGTGGAACGTGCTCCTTTTGAAGCTTTGCCTGAATGTGTAGAGGCTGCTGCTCATGGGGTGGGTGCTGTTTGTGATTGTAGTGAGATTATTTAACATTTACAACAAACATAGTTAAATTCTGCTTCAATGGCTTTCCCCCCTCAGTTTACGTATTGTGCCTTGTATTTTCTGGATTAGATTTAGAATACTTACACAGAACAGGAAAAAATTGAATTTTTTCTAAGAAAATAAAATTTAGTATAGCCAATTTCAATAAAGAACTAAAATTAACTAGACAGAATAGAGAAATGTCTCAGATTTGTTAGCTGGAATTTTGCAAAATCTATTGAACTCCTAAAGAGTATGCTGTGAAAATACAACTAAAATTGTTACCGAGCATAGAAAATGGCATAAACCTAAATTGCCACAAGTTTAGTCACATGTCTCATGTGTTCACAAATTCTTATTAGTCTTACTCAAGATTGATACAGGAATTCTGAAGAAGTGATTTATTTTTCAGCTCCAACCAAGCCAGGTGTCCTGCCTAGTGGGAAAACCCTGCACACTAAGCAGACAAGTGTATACATTCTCAGAGCTATTTTATTAACCTTGACATAAGCCCCAAATGTTGCATTATTAGAATTAGTCACCAAACAAGTGACCAAATGTTCTGTAACCCTAACTGATACTATGAACTTCCTCAGATTGTTAAATGATCAGTACAAGAGGAGAGTGAGCAAAAGAGCAGATGTCACAAAACTGAATAAAAACGTAAATAAACTAAGAGATATGTAAATGGCAATGTCCATTTAAGACAGGTCCTCCTTAATCTGGCATGGTGGCACATGTCTTGAATCCCAGCATTCAGGAACCAGAAGCAGGTGGATTTCTGTGACTTCAAAACCAACCTGGTCTACATAGTGAGTTTCAGGACAGCCAGAGCTACATATTGAGACCATGTCTCAGAATAAAAAGACAAGGTCTCTTGTAGCCTATGGGTGCTAGTTGCCACCTTGCTCTGTAGCTGAAGCTGACTTAAATTCTTTATCTTCTGTTCTGTTTCCTAAGAGGTGAGATTATAACCATATACCACCACCTAGACTTAAAACTAACTTGTGCAAACCATATTTTCATCAATTGTCACTTATACCTTGGTGGTATTAATGGGAATGTGTGCTGGTACAACCTTTATGGATGATAATTTAGCCTAGGATCTATCAAAATTGCAAAGGCACCAACCCTTTGACCTGGGAACAATCAGAGGCATGAGATCAGTTGCAGTGTTGGTTCTTAAAGTAAATGATCATCTCTCATTAAGGTACCATGATGTAATGTTAGACTGCCAACTGATACAGATAGAGGAGCAATATAGAAATATCAGCACAAATAGTTTCTAATGACATGACTCATACAGATGTTTAGAACTGTTACTGTTTGTCATGAAAAGGGGGTGACACAAAGCAGAAGTTATTTGCTGATACAGTCATAGAATATTTCTGGAAAGATACACAACGAGCTGTCACTAGTGGGCTCCTCTGGGTGGGTGGTGTGGGTGACAAGAAGACAAGTCAGTTTATGCCGTGGGAAAGAAACAAGTTATTTAGTACTTAACCTTTTGTACCTCATGTGTTGCAGTCCCGAGTTAAACTAAAATAAGTCGTGTTTTTTTTTGTTTGTTTGTTTTTTTTTTTTTTTTTAATGAGACAAGGTTTCTCTGTATTGTTTTGGAGGCTTTCGGTCTGTCGGTCCAGCCTGGCCTCGAACTCACAGAGATCCGCCTGCCTCTGCGTCCCGAGTGCTGGGATTAAAGGCGTGCGCCACCACCACCGCCTGGCCAAGTCGTGTATTTTTAAATCTCGGGGTGTAGTTATCTGTATATTATTGTCGAAAAAGTCAGAACTTTATTATTGTTAACTTGCTGTAAGTTCTGTAGAAATGTCAGTGTCCTTTTCTTCCTCTGATTTAGGCTCCCCAGCTGAGCTGTCTCCTACTACTCTCTCGCCTGTCAATCACAGCTTGGGTAAGTTGATGTTACTTCTTGCTGTTTTAAGGAAAGTTCTCTTTGGAGATTACTTTTTGTGTGTATCAAAAAAATAGATTATTCAGATGGTTTATATCATTGACTTTAGGAGGAATTGATACAATGTGTTGGTACTGCTTTCTATTGGCAGGAGCTTATGAGACAGTCATTGACACTATGTTCTTTATGAAGTTGTAAGGTTTTGATGGGTGTGTATTTAGGACGTCCCTTAGAAATTGTCATGTCTTTTCCTCTTGTGCTCTTCCTTATGATACATCTAAGTCAAATTAACAGTAGTTAATTACATATGATGCTCTTTTGTCTAGCGGTGCCAAAACCTGTTTTCACTTGCACACTTGTTTTGTCACACTGCTTCTTACTTATATGAGGGTAGACAATGTCAGGGAGTGTTTTGGTCCTCTCACTGTAAGATCTTACAGTGTAGCTTTCTACTTAATCAGCTTTATAGTTTTACCTATCCAAAACTGCCTTTTTGGTGCATTTTAAAAATACACCTAAGTACAGTAGGCTGACCCATGTACTCTTGTCTTTTTGTTTTGGGTTTGAACAAGAACTGGATGAAAACGAATAAAACAAATAATCCAACGTAAATTATGAGATGGGGCAATTTTTAAAACCTGTGTACCTGGGGCTGGAGAGATGGCTCAGAGTTTAAGGGCATTGACTGCTCTTCCAGAGGTCCTGAGTTCAATTCCCAGCAATCACATGGTGGCTCACAACCATATGTAATAAGATCTGGTGCCCTCCTCTGGTGTGCAGGGATATATGCAGGCAGAACACTGTATACATAATAAATAGATATTTAAAAAGCAAAACAAACAAACCAAAACCTGTGTACCTGGTCAAATGTCTTTAAACCAATGTAGATAGATGTTCACAATGACTTCCTGAGCTACTGCCTGTCTGCTAGCATGGAGTATGTCAATGATGTTCACTTTATTTCATGTTGAGTTGTTCATACATTTCTTCCTTTACTTCAGATTTGCAGCCAGTTACTTACTCGGAACCTGCATTTTGGTGTTCAATAGCTTATTATGAACTAAACCAGAGGGTTGGAGAGACCTTCCATGCATCACAACCCTCGCTTACTGTAGATGGCTTTACAGATCCTTCAAACTCAGAGAGGTTCTGCTTAGGTTTGCTCTCCAATGTCAACAGAAATGCTACTGTAGAAATGACAAGAAGGCATATAGGTATGTTTTTTTTTCTTTGTGTGGAAAAAATATAACCTACTCATAATGTAGACAATATGTGGTATTAGATCAAAAGCTTATATGGGAAAGCCCAACTTCATCTCCATCTGTGAATCCCTTTAATAGGGCCTTGGTTATTCTTAATCTGCAAACTTTTGTCTTTGATTTTATTTGTATTTGGCACTCTTGATAGTGAGAAGTCCTGTGATAAATATGTGTTAAAGTGATTAGCTTGCTCAACTTCTTTTAGTTAGGAAAAAAAGCAGTGTTTAGTAGTGATCTCTTTTCATTTCCCCCTCCTCTCAGTGATTTTATATATAATTCAAAATACAATCTGGGGCTTCAGAATATAGGGGAGGATTTCTGAACAGCCCCACGGAGCATCTTGGCACTATGTGAGGTCAGCACTGCTTTCCCAGTGGTACTGAAATGCTGCCTGCTGCTTCTCCACAGCAGAAAGTGGGGCATCCCCAGGGCTCCATGGCCTAGGGTTGTGAAGAGGTAAAATGTAGACCAGATAGTAAACAAACTTGTCTAACTGAAATGTTCCCACTTGCTCCTGACTTAAGTTTGAAAATGGTTATTTCTCACAAACCTTGTTTGTACTAATAGAGTTGTTGTTGTTTTAAGTTTTTAAAACACTTTATTTCCGTTTTCAATCTAATGTGGTAAGTTTCCATGATTATAATCCACATTTACCCAGATTTTCTGGGAACCTTATTATTTTGTGTTTAACCAGTGAGGTCCAGGTACTGAGAATCCATCTGATGGCTTCTTCACCTTCAGCTTTCTTCTGCCTGTTGGGGATTAACCATTTCCTCCTGTGAAAAATGATGATGTTGATGTTGTTTCTGTAAAATGATAACCAATAGAAAGGTGTTATTGGCTTTACCTGCATTTTCAAATGTTGTTACATTGGGTCATCTTTCATCCAGGTAGCACTGCAGATAAAGGCTGTCAGCAGCCCCCTAACTTTACCTACAGAGTTTTTATTTTCTATGTTTTCGTATTTTAATTAGACCTTTGCATTTTAAAGAAAATTAGTGGTTTCCTCTGCCCTTACTCATGTCTCCCAACAAAATTTTTAGTTCACTACAATTTTAGATTTTTTTTTTACATTTTTTAAAACTTTGATTGTTTACCATGTGATTTGAATAGGGAATAGTCTGAAAAGTCTTACTTTTGTACTTAATTGCTGTTCTTCCCACCCACCCACCCCCAGTGTGCTAGGGGTTTAATGGAGGATTTGTTACACAGGCACACCACCCTCTGGGTATATCCTCCAGTTAGAACCTTATCCTTTCTTGATAGCTAAATGCATGGTTGATGTTGCACAGTTCCCAAGTCTTAGTGGCAGCTGCATTTTTCCTCTACATGCAGTTTGCTGGTTGTTGACTCGTTAGTCCCTCTGCTGCATAACAGCTGATCTGCTACCTCTCCAGTTCTGTCTGACCACTCCCTAACCGAATATGCACCACAAAGCAGACCTTCGCATAGCTGGATGGACAAGATATTTTTGAGTCTTTTCTTAATCTAGTGGGCTCTTATAAGGAAAATTTGTCCAGACACTATTGTTTTCAAGATTAAACTCAATGATAAGTGAATTTTTAAAGCAGCAGGTAATTTAGATGAAGCTGTTTTGCTAATGTGTACTTTATATTTGTTAAAATGTTTTTCATGAGCATTATTTTGAAAAAAATCAAATTATTGTCAAAAAATTGTTGAAAAATGCTGTGGTGTATTTTAGAGTTACAGTTCAGGAAAGCATGGCTATGAGAACAGGTCATGCAGCTGCCTTAGCATTTGCTTAGAGTTCCTTATAGATGATTCTCAGAAACACTGAAGAGGAGAGTGTTCTAAAACTAACGATGTGTGCTTTGTTTTAGGAAGGGGAGTGCGCTTGTATTACATAGGTGGGGAAGTTTTTGCCGAGTGCCTAAGTGATAGTGCAATCTTTGTACAGAGCCCCAACTGTAACCAGAGATATGGCTGGCATCCTGCAACAGTGTGTAAAATTCCACCAGGTATGCATTCACCCATGTAAATAAGCCTGTCATATCAACAGTGAAAATAGCCCTGTCATCAGCTTGCTTCATTAACTTTTCTAGTTGGTAATGATTTTAGGAATTAGGAGCTGATGCCCATGTTCCTTCTAAAACATAGGCTTCCTTTAAAATTATTTTCTAATAACGACACTTTTTATATGTTTTACTGTTTACCAATGCCAGGCTGCAACCTGAAGATCTTCAACAACCAAGAATTTGCTGCTCTTCTGGCTCAGTCTGTTAATCAGGGTTTTGAAGCTGTTTATCAACTAACTCGAATGTGCACCATAAGAATGAGTTTTGTGAAGGGGTGGGGAGCAGAATACAGGTATGAATCCCATGCTCAGTTTCTAATTTCTTTACTGTGGTTATTTGTACCTTTTGCATCTTCTGTAGTTCATTTGTATCTCTTTCCAACAGAGCTTTTTGTAAAATAGTAAAAGAAAGAGGATTAACAGTGTAGCTCAGTTGGTAGAATATTTTGTGTATCATACGTGAGGTGCTGGATTCAGTCTTTAGAAACATATAAACCCAGTGCTAGGAGATTTCTGGGAGTTCAAGGCCATGCTTGGCTATATGAGACCCTTAGTTATGAAAGTGGAGGCCTAAAGATAAGAAACTTGAAAATTTCTGTGCTGGTATTATAGAAGATATGATTAAATTGTGTGTAAACATGCATTTTAACATAATGTAGAATGTTAAGTACCATATTATAAAGGTATATTTGAAAGGTTAGTACATTTTATAAAGCAGGTGTCTTTACTTTGTTCTCAAAGCTTTCTGATTGGAATGGCATGTGATCTAGGTTCTAGAAGATGCATATAGAGATAGAAAAGTGCAGTGTGGGAAACTAATTCTATTAGCAGAGTAGCAGTTTGATTAGAAGTAGAATTAAAGTAAGACTGGACAGTTGAGTAAGTGACCCCTCTTACCTTTGGTCTCACTGTGAGTTATACATACATAGTGCCTCCTCCATGTTTCTGATTGTGTGTGTGTGTATCTTGTGTATATATGTGTCTGTGCTTGTGTGATTGCAAGTGCCTGTGGAATCCAGGAGTTAGCTGGATTTACAGATGCAAACTAGAGTGTTACTTGTGATTATGAGTTGCCAGATGTGTGTGCTGAGCACTGAACTCACTTCTCTAAAAAGCAGTGCACATTCTTTAGCTGCCTGGCCATCTCCAGCCCCTTGAATATCTAATCCTAATTGTTATTGGGCATGAATTGTTTAGAGATGGGGAGCTGATAATAACCCTTTATCATGACCTAAGAATGTCATGTTGAAGAAGCAAAAGTAAATGTATTGACTGACACTATGTAGCAGATAAAATAGAACTAAATCCAATGCCTAAGATTAGAGCAACAGGAGGATGTTGTGTGGTTCAGGGAATAGGCAATGGCCCTTTTGTTAAAGCACTTGAAGGTTTTGATTTTGCTCCTTAAACCAGAAGCCCAAGAGATGTTGCTGGGAAGGTTGTTGCTCATTATGTATCTAGAGAAAAGTCAGCTCTAAGTCTTCATTGTGTGTCAAGGATTAGCTTGGGTCAACAGACTTTAACTTTGAATTTTTTTGACTTAGACTTCATTTGATACATATAAAAGTAGGATGACCATATGTGTCAATTTCTTAGGGTAATCTTTCCTGGCTTATGTCTCTCCTACCAGTCTCATTAATAGTAGTACCTAAATTCTCTCATAGGTATCCCCTGAGTATACTAATTTAACTTCAAAAGAAAATGTTTTTGTAAATCTTTTGAAAGGATGAAATTCTAAGGTGATGGCTCAGTTGGTTAACGCACTTGCTATGAAAGCATAAGGACTTGAGACTAATCTCCAGCCCTCATAAGAGCCAGCATGGCTGTGTGTGTCTGTAACCTCAGCACGGGATGGGGTTGTGGGATGGGAGCAGATGGAGCCTAGGAACTTGCTGGTCAGCCATTCTAGCCAGCATAGGGGGCTTCAGGTTCAATGAGTGACCCTGACTCAAGAGAACATGATAAAGAACAGTCGAGGAAGGTACTCAACCCAAACTGTCCCTCCCCTTTCTGGCCTCTGCATGTACCTGTACACGTACATATGCATACAATCTCTGAAAAAGGGCAAAACTCCTTAGATCATTTCAGCTGTAAAGACCATTTTCAAACTCATAATTCTATATACAAAGTTAATAATTATTCTTAAGATAGATTTTATTATATTCAGCCATAATTTTCTAATTGTTTTTTATGTTCATTCAAACAGGAGGCAGACAGTAACAAGTACTCCTTGCTGGATTGAACTTCATCTGAATGGCCCTCTGCAGTGGTTGGACAAAGTATTAACTCAGATGGGATCCCCTTCAGTGCGATGCTCGAGCATGTCATAAAGTCCATCACCATTTGAGTCTATCAAAAGACTTCGTGTAACAACTCTTCTGTCATAGTATTTGTGTATGATGCTGTGGACTGTTTGCTATCCAAAAATTCCAGAGTGAAAACAGCACTTGAGGTCTCATCAGTTAAAGCACCTTGTGGAATCTGTTTCCTATATTTGAATATTAGATGGGAAAATTAGTGTCTAGAAATGCCCTCCCCAACGTGGGAAGAGAAGACTTAAAGACTTAGTGATGTCTTGTTGGGCATAAGACAGTGTCCCAAAGGTTATTAATTACAGTAGTAGTTGTGTATACAGGTAATGTATCAAGACCCAGTATTGCAGTACTCTGCTGTCTGTATCCATTCTTAGTTTGCATAACTGAGGTGTGTGTGCTGCTTCTTGGTCTAGGCAAGCCTTTATAAAGTTACAGAACCTAATCTGTTATTCCCACTTCACCGTTATTTTTGTGTCTTTTTTAATATATAATATATATATAAAGATTTTCAAATTATCATTTAGAAGCAGATTTTCCTTGTAGAAACTAATTTTTCTGCCTTTTACCAAAAATAAACCAACTTGGGGGAAGAAAAGTGGATTAACTTGGAAATCCTTGACCTTAATGTTTCCAGTGGGTCTTAGTAGTCATTCTTTCTTTGTGTGTTTATTTCCTGCTGGATTGCATTTGAAGGAAACCTTACTGGAAACTTCTGGGCTCTTCATCCCATTTCTTTTCTGATATAAAACAGTACAGCATGATGTCATTGTTGCAAATAGCTGCATTGATGACTGCTGGGGTAGTTAATGCTGAGTCCAGTGAGGGTTTGCGGGGAGTAAATCTTGTCTTAGAACCAGACCTCTGCACATGATGATGGACTTTGTGTAACCTGTTGGTCTATTGATTAACTTCGGTCTCAAAACATGAACAGGTGGCAGTATAATTATTTTCAGGGCTATTCTGGAATCGTCTCAGTATGTGTTTCCTTCTTCCAAAGCCAGTTTCATAATAAAGGATCTTTCTGTAAAGGCAGCTGACCTTCTGCCTCGTTGCACTTAACTACCAGGTTGTATTACAAAATGTACCTTTGGCAAATGTACTTGCTTCTGCAAATACATAGAGTGACGCTGGGGTATGGTCAGCAGATAGGGGCCATCTGTTTTTAAAGTGTATTGTGTGTAATTTATAAGTAGAATGTTGTATTACCTAATTTCAGGATTTTAAAGATTGGGAGCTAAGTCATTTATCAATATTTTTAGCCTGTAGTTACCTGCAGTCTGAGCTGTTCTTGACTAACCCTGGGTGTGTAGGGGTCACTGACCTTTCTTCTCTGCAGTAAGGGGATACCAGCTGCTCTGTTGGTCCTCCGTTCTGCAGCATACAACAGTCATGTCAATCTTGACTCCCTTGTTTGCAGCTCCATACAAATGGAAAATACTTCCTGATCTCCTTTTTGTAAATTTGAATATTTTTGCAGACAAATACCTTTGGTACTTTTTGAAACCATACTCACATGTATGTACAGGTATCATTTTAGATGCTTTTCAACATTTGATTGTTTTCTATTTGATATTTCCCATTTTCCTATATTTGTGTGCGTATATATGTGTTCATGTAAATTTGTTATAGTACTTTTTTATTCAAATATTTATTGTTCACCTGTTAATGTGCCATGAACTTTCTTAACCTTTGGGTGAAGGTGAACAAGATAACTCTAGTTCTTGCCTTTGTTGACATAGCTGTTGATTTAACCCATGCTCAAGTGTCTTTAGGAGGTAAACAGGGTACTTACTGTCTAGAGAATGGCAGATAGGATGCTTCTGGTAGGACATGGGAAAGGCATCTGGGAAAGCGATGCTTGAGCTAACACCTAACCTAGAAGGAGTGAGCTGTGTGAAGAGCTGAAGGAGATCAGCAGCACTGCTGGGACATCATCAAACCCAAAGACACAGACAGGCTCACAGAGACTCGTGTTAGGCACTGTATTTATGCACGTATTTGCGCCACCCAAACGTAAATTTGAGAATGGCTCTTCAGTTTATAATTTGTTGAAGGTGGTACTGCTTTGTGATAGGCTGCTTGTCGTCTCACTGTAGTCTAGTTCTCAGATCTTTGTTGTGGACATTTCTTAATTACATCAGGTCAGTGCCTCCTTAACTTTCCTTATGTAAAGATTAACCAGTATGGAGAGCTGCTGTTTGCTTCTGGACTTGTTGCTGCACACTGATGATCTGTCACTCCTTCTACTTCCCCTTTCATGATAGGACAATGTCCTGGGCATCATTGCTGCTGAGCCTGCTGGAGATAATCATTGTAAACTGCCTGCCCCTCATTGGAAGTTTTCAAACTGAAAAATTTGTGCTGTTAGGGGATAGTTCTGGATGCAGAGGGCACCTTTGAAAGCAGTGGAGGGTTAGTAAACATGCTAAATAGAGTGATGCCAACAGTAGGACGCATCTCAATGATTTCGATTCAGGTGTAGGTTTTCTGTACACTATGAAATGCGATTTTTCCCTTGAGATACACATGTATCATGGAGCATAGATTGCCACAGTCATAGTATAAGTGCTCATGTGAAGTGTTCAGTGGTCATGTTTGCTTTCCAGTGAAATGCTGTGGGCTTACATTATACTTTGTCTACCTTGGCTTAGTTTTTGTTGATTTTTTTTCCCCCACTTTGGTAGGGCTGGTTTTTGTTCCACTTGTTTTAAGTGATTTGCATTATTTAACATCTTTGCTCAACAGTAATTTGAAAGCCTTTTAACCAGATGATGAAATTCAACTGGACCTGTCCAGTCTTGGGAATACCACTGAATTGGGCTCTGATTTAAAGACGCTTTCCTGCTTGAGTCTGAGCCACACTGGTTAACACTGCATGAGGTATACATTGAGTAGTTTCTGATGCCCGTTGTTTACCCAGCCACTGTGATTCTGCGGCAGTGCCCTGGCCCTCGAGCTGGGCTTAGTCCTGTGGGAATTACTGTTGCTTTCAGGGCCTGTCACTTTGCCAAAAGGAATCTGCATGTGTTTTCTTGAGTGCTAAATCTTCTAATTCTGGACTTTTATCTGTGTTCTATATGTATTTGCAGATTGTTTAATATCTAGGGTGGGTTTTTTTTAGCCTTAATATACAACTTAGTGTGGTAGTATAGTTCATTCTTTTAAGCTGTTGTATCTCCCCCTTCATTTCTTGAACTTCACATTTGCTGTGCCTTTGTTGTCAGTCCATGCAGACTAAGACTCCAAACGAAAGCAATTAGTAGGCTTTTGTAGTCAAAATCAAAGAAAGCAGATGTCCATTTGGTTTCTCTACCTCTTCCAAGAGCTGCCCACATGTATCTTTAAGATAGTTTTTTCAAAGATTGTTAAGTACTTGGAACAGCTGGGGGTCTATTATAAAGTTCCACAAGACAGTAGAAGCTGATCCTTCCCGTTTGCCGGTTTATTCCCTCTATACAACTTTCTCAAGTGTGTCTTCACAGGGCAGCCAAGGTAATTCCTCTTACTGTGACTTACGGCTTGGGTGGCCTGCTACATCCAGCTCCTCACTGGTGTGCGCACTTTGCTCCACCCAAGCTTCCGTGCTCTTTGCCCTCCTGTCAGCTGTAGGTTTTGTGTACATCAGCGTTTCTCCCTTTAGTACCGTGCACTGCTTTGCAGGCAAGCTAGTATTCTTTGGTTTACTGTTTTAATCTTACAAGTGGCTCTGGGGTTTTGCACAGTTAAATGCCCCTGTGACTAACAAGCAGCAAATTTCCAGATATTTATTTTAATTTAGATGGCAACAGCACCTCCATTCCTGTTTGGGGCCATTCTCAAGTGTCATACTTAGTTTAATTGGTGGTGATGGTGTGTGATCTTCAGAGAGACAGATCCTTGCTGTTGATCCCTTTTCTTTTTTAGGTTTCCTTGATTGTTTTATTTGTTCAGGCTACCTTTTATCCAAGGAGTTTGAGGGACAGATTATTTCTTGTAGTGTAATTTATGCGTTCAATAATTGCAGCCAGAAAATAGTGAGTTATCTCATGAATTCTTCTGTGGTAAGACCTGGTTTCATGTTTGTGTAACTTCTTGAATAGAGACATTTATCTTGGACAGTATAGCTAGCTTATATATATAAGAGCTGTCTCAAACCTTTTAGTTTTAGTATACACACATATACCTTCAGAAAAACTTAACAGTGGGGTTGTCTTAACAGTGATGAATGATTACACTGTTTAAATCTCAGATCTCAGTAAAAACATTCCTCATTTGCTTGTAGACATTTTTATGTCATCCAGTCAGTGTATTTAAGCTGAAGTCTACCACAGTCCTAATTTGCTGATGTTTAGGCACTGTGGTAAAAATCATGGGAAATTCATTACCACCATAAAGCTTTTCTAATCCTCTTCCCTAACTTGTACACTCAGTGCTAAGGGTTAACTTTTGAATAGCAGATTGTTCTTAATTTGCTTCTGCCCATGAGATTGCTGCTTTAGAGACTGGGAAGTACCACCACAAGGTCAAGCTCCCTAAACCTAACACTCGCCTAAATGAAGGTGGCTCAGGCCTGACTGTCTCAGCTGTGGTCAGTAGAAACAATTTTCTAAGCTTCTTGGGGCCTCTGTACACTAACAGCTCGGTGTTTCTTGGCTCCTCTCCTCCCCTCCCCTCCCCTCCCCTCCTTTCCTTGTCTTCTTTCTTTCTTTTTTTTTTTTTAAAGGTATTCTGCCTTCTCAAAAAACAAAAACTTCAAAAATTTCTGGTTCACTATTTTTGGGTGGAGGACAAGAATTTGCTCCCATTTCTGACTTAACATAATCATTGAACAATCAAATCCACAACATAATGATTTAAGGACAAATGTAAAGCTTTAGAGTTAGGAAAGCACACTGATTATTCCACTTCCTAACCAGCTGTTATCCTGTAGAGGTAGTTTACAGAGTTTGGTTAAATCAGAATAATTATATGTAACAGTTAGGTAACATGGATGAATTCTTAATTAAAAAGTAACCAATTTCAGGAAGACACTAGATTCAACCTCTGGCCAGTGAATTTGCCAGCATCATACATATCCAGCCTATTTCTTGCAAAATACAGAACTCAGATTGGGCACACATTTGACCAGCTTTACTTCAGACTCCATTTATGCTTCTCTTGACCCAATGTTCTAAGGCATAAATATTTGATTCTTTTTTTAATTGGCGGCGGTGATCTGTAAAACTCAACACTTTGCAGTGGGCTAAACCAAGAGAAACCACCGTGACTGGGGTGCAGCTTTGCAGGAAGCCAAATCAGAAAGCAGCAGAGAGTGCTATTGTTCACTCTCTGCCCCAAGGTGGACTGACCTTCCTGAGAGCACAGTACACAACAGTGTGACTCTAGATCTTTGCCGGTACCTTCAGTTGGCTGTCTTCAAATATGAAACAAGAATATGGGAATAACTGGCAATAATATGGAAGGTTTTCACATTTTAAAGGGATATAAAAGATGCAAGAAACTGGAATATTCATTTAGCTCAGAAAATCTCAATATATGGTAAGATACTATGTAACTGGACAGAGCTGGAAACTCTTGGAAAGTCTTGTGGTAAAGTCTAGTGCACTACCACTAAATGTTAACAAACATTAAGGTATTTCTGGGCTTCTAGCTGTTTAACCAGTTTGGAGGAAGTAGCCTTTAGTAAGAGAACTAAAAGCCTGATGTCCTTAAGAAGCCTATGTACTTGGAAATGCTTTTCTCTAGGCATGCTGAGGACAGGACCAGCCCTACCATGCCTGGGACAAATGTCCCAGATGTGCAATGCTCAATGCTAGTTCCAGGGGTCCTGGGAAGAGTTGTCCACTTGAGGTGTCCTCAGGATTTATTCTCACATCAATGTCATTATAGTTGATACTGCATTGGGTTGCCTTAACGGCTGTCAACATTTCCATTGTTTCCAGGATTGACCTGTCTGCCCTCTAATCACTTATCACTATGAATTCAACTGCAACCTAAGATTTATAATAAATAGCAAAAGTAGCAAACAGAGTTGATTGGAAAAGAGAAATTGAAAAGAGGCAGCTAGATAGCTATGCATCTGTTTAGGTAGGTGTGAATATATTTTGTGTCCTTATGAGGTGAAGTTTAAATTTTTTGTGACATGGAAACAGTGTGATTATAGATTTCCTCTCATGGAATGTTGGTGAATGTTGTCTTAAAATTCCTAAATGTGTTAGCCAAAAGCAGGTAAAGGAATCAGTGTGCTGATAGAGTTGGAACCATTTGCTCTTAAGTATTACGTCCTCCTGCTCTCAAGGTGCTTACAGCTAGTTGTGTGAGAGCCAGAGGATTTTGTCGTGTGGTATGGCAGCCTGGAACCCTGTTGCTGTTTTCCTCTGGTAGTCCTCAGTGGCTGATCTCTGCGCGCTGTGATGGAGACGTTAAGTGTGTTTGTTATTTATAAGCCTTCTCTTAACAATTATCAGACAATGACGTGGGCTTTTGTTTTGTTTTTGAGTACTGAGCTGAGGCTTTATGTCAGGTAGTTTCAAGTTAAACTTGTGAAATACTTATTTCCTGTCCACACCAAATACTTAGTCTATTTAATGTATTAAATAGTTCTGCTTACAATGTTGCCTAAATGTTCTGTGATTTCTGGTCAATTTTTATACATACAGATCTGTGTGCATCTCTGTGTGCATTCACTTTCTACCTTTGCTCTCTACCTGTGTTAACAGTACTGTTGCCATTGGAAAGCGGTCAGTTTTCCTAGCATTAAAAAGAAACATGTGAGTTACTTTCCATGTCATTATGGGATCAGGTTTGTGTTGATTTTGGTATAAGGTGGTCTTTTTTTCTGAAGTGGTTACATTTTGGGGTTTACTGCCAATTATGTGAATACAAAAATGTGGATTTTGCATAGAAGGTATGATCTTTGGGTATGTGTTGATGTGCACACAAAAATACTTTGCTTATCCCTTTCTCACACAGGTTGGCCCTGCCTACCCAAAACACACTGAATGGTACTAGTTACACATTTTAATTTCAGTTTGCCTGTGGCAAATTAGTGATGATAGGTAACATTTATGTTCTAAACAAAAATGGTGAAATTCAAGTTTACCCTGAAAATACACTTAACAGAAAAAAACCCAAAACAGAACTCGGGGTGTATATGTGTTTTCTAAGGCCTCCCTCCTTGAAAAGTACTACGGGGCCTGATCTTGCAGTTACATTATGATCATCATGAAGTAGCTGAGAAGCATCCTGGTTGAGCCATACTTCCTGTGGCTCAGTCTGTGTTTTCCTCACTTGTGGGCATTCATTTTACAAGTCATTTTAACCATGCTTCAGAATCAAGAAAAAGAGAACTTTAAAAGCTGAGGTGCATTTGAGCTGCCCAAGTGTTAATTTAGTTTAACCCTTATTTGGAGAAAATCTGAAACTGGTTTACTATTAAAATTGCTGTAGAATCTAACTAAAAACAGTATAAAAGGTACTTGCTAACATCGTGTGCAGCATCTCTTGAGGTAACATGACTGGAGTGTCCCTCCCAACCTTAAAGACAGCTATTGACCATCCTGTTGTACATACTGCTAATTCTCTGTATTGGAGACCATGTGGCTGAGCTGTGTATGAAGTTTCAGAAGAACATGGAGAACCATTAAGCGATATATTGGGCTCTTCCTGGTTGGAATTCCTCTTTTCCTCCATGTAAATTGAATTCCTTTAGTACAGGAAGCAGAAGTATCGATGGGCTGATGCCATCTGGAGAAACCATTGTTCAGTACCACACATGTGCAAGAAGTAGGATGAAGACTGTACTGGTTATTCAGTTATATACAAGGGGCCGGCAAGAGGACTTAATGGGTAAGGCCCTTGCTGTGCAAACTCTAGACCTGAACTCGATCCCCCAAACCCACATAAAGGTGAAAAGAGAACGGACTACAGAGTTGTCCTCTGACTTCACATGTGTTCCCGCACTTAAACTGTACACAGAATAAAGAACCTGTGTCGTCTTCCATCATTCTAGGCTCCATCATCTCATGGGCTCCAGCTTCATTTTTGATAGCCTTGTTTTAGTCAAAATAATCAAGTCCTCCTAAAACTGAACAGGCCACAGATAGGAATATAAAACAAACTCGTCAGTGAATATCTCTGTGGATATTTGTAAAAAATCCCTTTAACTGATCCTTTGTTGAAAAAAAAAAAAGGTTCATGCTACATTGCACACATTAGGACATAAGAATGCCAGTATTTGCATTTAAATACATTAATAGAAATCAAGGTCTTTGAGTCTTACTTCAAATTGTAAGTCAGTGATAGGAAAAGCATTTTTCCCAGAAAGCTTGGGAGTAGAATGTTACCATAATAGTTGCAATAGAATTTGAGATTATAACCTGGCGGCTGTTTTTTGTTTTGTCTTTTTCTGCCTCATAATACTGTTTATCACTATAAAAGTTGTAAAATTGGAAGAGATGTAATCCAGGGCTAAGAAGAGGTACTTTTGCACACATGATTCAGGAAAGACACTGTGGGAGCATTTTCCAAGGACTTGTTCAATTTGGGGAGGGACTTAGGTGGGTCAGCATGAAGTCTTGGAATGCACCCTGTGACCATGCAAGAAACACAGACGGTTACTTACTAAGCAGCCATCAGAGGTTTCAAGCAGAAGACCGACAGCCACAAGCTGCTGCAAGACCAGAGCTGATAACAGCCTGGGTGCCTGGAGGTAAATGCCACAGGTGGCTTAGGTGTCAGTGTGTTGAGACTGCCGTGAGGGACGTCCACTGAGGATAGGGCAGCCTGCAGTGCAGGGTGCTACATTACACCGGTAGCCTCCGTGCATGCAAACATGCTGACTGTTCATTTACATGGCTGAAATCTGTTAGGGAACTCCCTGAGGTACTGAGTTCTGCCTGTGTGTGTGATGGCAGCAAATTGCCAGTCCTTAACCGGTCGCTGAACAGCAGTTTGCTACAGAGGCCATGCTTGTGGAACTTCAGCTGGAGGTTTATGTCCTCAGCTTTTAAATCCTAAATTGTTTTCATAAGAGCTCTTGTCTCTGCTGGCCTGTTACTGGCAGTACTTAGTTGCATTGCATCCTGTAAGTACCATGTTTGTACATAGGACTCATTTTTAAGTGGTTATTTGCATAAAAGTGGGCTGCAGTGGGAAAATGAAGATTGAAATGAACCCATTTTCCATTGGAATGAAGTATTTTAGTAGGAATGTTTAGCTTGCCCCTTTTGATTAAAAAAAGGTTTACCCAGCCGGGCATTGGTGCATGCCTTTAATCCTAGCACATGGGAGGTAGAGGCAGGTGGATCTCTCTGAGTTCGAGGCCAGCCTGGTAAACAGAGGAAGTTCCAGGACAGGCTCCAAAGTTTTTTAAAAAAATACAGAGAAACCCTGACTTGGGGGAGGGGGGGGAGTTTTAAGTCAAGCTCTTGTGTGTGGCATTTTAGAACACTCCTGGTCAACCATGAACACATTGTATCAGGAATTGAATTTTATAGAAATAATTGAATGCTTTCATCTGTAACAGAATTAGTGGCCTGTAAAGCACTGTGGTTTCTTGGCAATGCTCTACAGTTGTTAAAGGAGGAACTTATTACAGGGAAGCCAGAGGCATAGAAAAATACTATTTCCAAAATGGAAATCACTGATAAGAATACTGAAGAATTTTAATTTTTAATTGGCGCATTTGACCCCCATCCTGTTACTTTAGTGTCCTGCTATTTAAGGCTTAAACCATATAAAGGTGAGTAAAATTAAACTACACTTTGTAGAACTAAATTTTGGTGCTCAGCATTTATAACTATAGCATGGTGTAATTTTATTTGCCAGAATGTCAACTTTCTTCTCTGTCCTGCTTCCACTTTTTTTAGTCTGTTCTACCCCCCCCCCCCCCTATAATTAAAGACACCCTTAGAAAAGTTCATTATCACAGAATATGTACTTGTTGATACTTGGTAAGAGCAGAAATGCCAGGAGGTTAAGATTACCATCAAAAGTGAATGGGTGTTTTGTGTGTCCAGAACTTTTCCAGTTTATGTCTGACCATTCCAACAGTGGGTATGCCTTTCTCAAACCAGCGTGGCCACCGAGGGTTAGCAGTCCTTCATATGCCTAACATGGTCAGTGACTGGAAAGTTTAAACATAAAGAGCTTCAAGTTCATGGGTCACGGTGGGAGGATCTGTGTGATCCACAAGTGTTCTGAGTGTTTCTCGACAGAAGTAGAAGCATCTAAAGGCTCTTTAAGAACATGGGATGGAATGCCTGAAGAAAAATGTGCTGTAATGATCACTCTCTTCGATAATGGGACAAATCTCAACGGCCCGCTTCAGCCTTCAGAGATTTAGACAGAATATTGTGATAGTTATAAGCCTGGGTTGTCATTTCCCATGTGGTGGGAAATAGATTTCAGATCAGCCCTCTGATTGTGCCTGTTTCTGTGATGAAGTCTTCATTACTCTCTAAAATTTCCCTGTTTCCTGAATTCTCTCATAGAGGGTATTGTTTTTGAAGATGGTTAAGGGATCTCAATAGAAGCATTTGAGCTCTGAACATAGAGAGGGTGATTCACTGTTAAACGCAGAGACATAATAACTGAATGTCAAACTCGGTATTGCAACCACAAAACCTCAATAGCAACGTCAATTGTGCAGCAGCAGCATTCTGCTTATGGGCAGGGCCTGTGTTTACCCTGGGTGTCTAGAACAATCTTGCCTGTTTGGCCATTTTGTTCCCTCAATTAGTAGGACTTGGGGTTTTCCCCTGTGTACTTTGCCCTCTAGTGCTTTCTTGGAGATGACTGGACAACAGTGACCACGCCCAGTCCACAAGGCCATCATGTCTGCACGATTCATGCTAACTAGCACTGAACAAAAGTCAGCCAGGTTGGTACAAAGTGGAAAGTGCTACATTTCTGAGTTGAACAAAACAGAAAAAGTCACAAGGAATTTGGGAAGTTGGGGCCTTGGTTTGTTTTTGTGTAGTGGTCAGCCAAGAGGCAGGTGGAGAGACTGAAGCCCTCAAGCAGAGTTTTGACAATGTTCATTTGGTTCAAGGTATTTTAATTCATAGAACATAGAACCAATACACTTTTACAGCGCCCTGCAAACAATTAAAACCAAAGTAATGTGGTTGTCTCAATTACCAGTGTACCTGGCTGTTGTCATGTGACTAGAAGTTCACACTCTGGTCTCTTCAGAACAAATAATGAGTTCTCGCCTCATAACTGGGACAGAAGGAATAATTGATCCAGAGAAACCACTTCTGCATATTGAGCACTGATGTCCCTTCCAGAGCCTGCATGGATGGGATTTCCCTCAGGCAAAGATGCTGCCTGCTGTACTTCTGTCTACTTGCAGAAACTGCAGGCACCTGTTAAGGAAACATTATTGGTTAGGTTCAGCAGTAATGTGGCAGATTAAGACATGTTTTGACCCTGGTGCTACAATCCCTTTGTATTTTTTTTATTTTTGTAATGTTTTTATTTAAATTAGAAACATGAATGCTTCACATGTCAATCCCAACTCCCTCTCCCACCCCTCCTCCCTTGCCCCTCCACCAGTCCCCCACCCAATCCCCACATCATTCCCCAGGGAGGGTGAGGCCCTCCTTGGGGGGATCTCTAAAGTCTGTCATTTCATCCAGGGCAGGACCTAGGCCCTTCCCCATGTGTCCAGGCTGAGAAACCATCCCTCTATTTGGAATGGGCTCCCAAAGATCAATTCATAAACCATGGTAAACACTGATCTACTACCCAAGGCCCTGTGATTTCTTCGGCCTC